TCGATTCAGGTAAAATAATCTTGTTTTAGATTAAAAATAATATTTTTCTCTAGAATTTTGATTTGATTTTTTTTTTCACGTATGAATGCATTTATAATTTATTCATATTGTTGAATACCTATAAATGTGAATACTAGTTTGAATTGACACTTATGATAATTATCATTTTCATATTTATTTACAACATGAATATATTTATGAAACATTCGCTTACAGATATTCATATCATGTTGATTATGCATAAGATTATGATTTTGTCTATAATTGTTTATTACAGAAATTATGATTACAGGAATGTCTCAAGTGTTGTGATATGTTGATTATTACATGAATTTTTGTAAATATAGATGATAGGAAACAATGAGATTTTCATCTCCTGGTATTCAAACTGGGACAAAACTTCGGGAATCATTGGTATCAAACGAGAATGAAAAGTAGGGAACTGTTGGAACCATGGGAGATATTGATAACAAATATATTAGGCGAGGCCCAATATTTATCAATAATTAAAGTAGTATTTGGGTTGGGTGTCTATCAAATGACATGACAAGAAAATAATCGAGTCTTATACAATTATAAATGACATTCCTATGATTACGATTGATAACTTAAATTATTATGAATATGTTTATAATTCTCTGCATTACGCATTTTTCTTTTACATCTTTTATACAATTATAGCATATTATGACATGTGTTGTGGACATATACATGAACTACATATGATCATGCACGTTATTTCTTTTTCGTCAATAAAATTCTTCATTTAGCTTTGATTATTTCGTTGAACTTGTAGCCTACTCCAAATTATTGACTTTCAGGAAGGGATGAAGAGCATTAGAGCGAGTAGCTAGGTTTGAAGTGTGTAGCTTTTACACTATATAGTTTTGAGTGCGTACGTATTTTATTATGTTGAATTTAACGCTTATATATATATATATTGGTTATATGATTTTTTAAGTTTCCAAATATATGTGAATATGAATTAATTACGAAATAAAATCTATCATATATATTTGCAACGATTGAGAGGCTAATTTTTACAGCAATTTAGTTATATTAGTTTATCACTCATTATATCCTCATTATACAAGTCAGGACGAAGGCTGATGATAATTTAATCTGATCAAATTATCCTCCTTTGTCACACTGCGGCTGACCTTAAAACGGGGTTAGTTGGGGTGTGATGGAAACTGATATCAACGCAAGGTTACTGGATAAAAAGGATAATTAAAGAATGCTAGATTTAAAAGAAGCAAGAAAGAGATCATATATAAATTAAATTATACAAAATTACAGATTAATTATCTGGGGTGGGTAACCCAAATGGCTTAAGGTATCATACATGTATAACATAATTATTATATGATAAATTATCTTTGAATAATAAATTGTGTCAATACAGCTGAAGAAAATCAGAAAGTATCGAGGGACAATCTCCCAGACTGATTGCAGAGTAAGACGCACAAGTTAAAAATATCATGAATAAAAATGATAATCAGAACACAGCAAATGAAGAAACTAAAGCTGCCGAATTTTAAGCTATTATTCAGTTGTATCATAAGAAATTGATAAAATAACTATCATTCAAAAATCATCCACCAGCTCGAAGCCCAAAATCAAATCTTGTACAGAAATTGATCGTCATTTGAAGATCTTTAGAACTTTCGAGGCATCTCTATTTAAAGGCACAATAATCCTACAATTGTTAAAAAATGGTTATTGAATATCAAAAAGATTTTGGATGGTATGATTTGTCCAGAGAGCATGAAAATGGTATAGCTACTTTCATGCTAGAATCTGACACAGAGAGATGGTGGCAGACAAAACATAGAAAAAATTTGGACTCACACCTCTTCCATAGTTTCATTGGATCGAGTTTGTTAGAGTGTTCAATGATTGATTTATTCCACCTTCAACCAGATTAACACCGCAAGATAAATTCTTCAATCTAACACAAGGGGTCAAAGAAAGTTATGCAGCATAGTCTGAATTTATTTATCTTTTGAGATATGCGCCCAATATGTCAGTACCCAAGAAAAAAATGTCTTAAATTTCTACGCAGCCTTAGAAATCAATTGGTTGGCTCTAACGCCGTTCGAAATTAGTGATTTCTCAGTGTTAAATTAAAGAGTTTAACGAATTGAAAATAATTTGAACTTCTCCAGTCAGCAATGACAACCTAAAACAAGCAATAGACGATGTTGGCAAGGTAGAAAAAATTAAAAGCAAGAAAATTAAATCAAAAGGGAAGCAGAAACAACCTCAGACACAAATTGATTTGTGAGAATGGAAAAATGACCATTTGGGCAGTTTTTTATGGGTTCAGGGAAATGCTACAAATGTGGATAGTTGGGGCATCGTTGGATAGTCCGAAAAAAAAAAAAAAAGAGAGAGAGAGAAAACAAGTCGTATGCATTTCAAGGATATGGATGGCCCAGAAAACTTCTAGATGGCAATCAATCAAGTAAAATTCAATTTTTGATAAAGCCTTCAACTCAAGTAAATGGTGAAACTTCATAGCACAAAATTGAGCAACCATTGAATATCAGAGTTCTAGCAATTACCTCTCGTAAGGCTGAAGATCCGAAAAAGTGATTATAGATATGCTTCTAATTCAAGATTAGTTTGACACTATTTTATTAGATTTAGGTGCATCAGAATCTTGCACTTCTAATGAGTTTTTTGTTAGTCTATCTATTGACATTGTACATTTTACCCCTGTTATATGTATTATTATGACACTAAATAGGACCAATGGAGAAAAAGGATTCATGTAGCCGACCCCACGTAGTGGGATTAAGGCTCTGTTGTTGTTGTTGTATATGTATTATTATGTCTTTGGAAAGTAATTTTTATACAAATATAAATGTGTCATGCATATTAACATTTATGATAAGAACAAGGAACAATAAAAAATGTGTCGTGCATGTTGGCATATTATTATGCTCATGTGTATACTCTTATTGTCTAATCATAAGGTCAAATATTGTCTGTAACATGCAGTGGTATATTGATGATGATGTTATTTCTGTACTGTCAAAACTAAGGCCTGCATATATAATAGGGAATAATAACGTTGCAATTGAACTATATCACCAATAAATAGCTTCAAACATCCAAGGTATATCGTCGTTGTGTGCTCCTCCAGTTCCATCACTAGAGAGTTTTTGGTGAAAGGGATTAATTTCCTCCTTTTGATCCAGAAAGTCACCATTATAGCTATGGATGATTTCTTTGGGCTTTCTCCTTTCCAACTCGACAAGCCTTGGTTGTAACTAGAGAATTCTCCTTTGCATATTCTGAACTGTGAGACACTCATTTTCATGTTTCTCATTGGTGATTAAGTGCCTCTTTCCCCACTTAGAACTACGACCAAAATAGGGAGGTGTTTATGAGACTGAAAGCTGAGAGAGTGAGGGGTCAAGGTTGATGTTAGGAATAGGTATGTGCTTGGGTGGATGAAGTAGGTAATGAGGAATTTAGATTTAAAGTGGGGAATAGCAAATTCCTAAGGATTTAAGGTTTCTATGAGTTTGTTACCAAATAACACCATTTTAGGGTTACTAGACGGCATGGAAAAATCAAGAGATGGGTTTGGATCTATAAGAAGAGAAATAGATGGTGAAACAGGGACAGTGATTGAGAATTCGGTGCAAAGTGTTGGACGGCAAGCTAGAAATAGAAACTACACTCGGATGCAAAGCTGACAATGCAGGAGATTCTCGGGCATCCAGGTTAGCACTATCTAGATCTAATTAAGTTACAAACACCCCATTTAAGAGAATAAAAAATACAACACTACAACAAATAAAAACTAGAGAAAATAGACCCTAATGTATAAACCAAATCAAAAGGCCCCCAAAACAGAAGTTCACCACATATTTAAATGTCCAAAAGCAAAAGAAATCCCAACTAATAGCCAAAATAAGCAAATATATCCCCTAAAGGGGCTGGCTAGCCCATGAGAGCTGAAGTTATTTATATGGTCCTTCTCTAGTTTGATTTGGTCTCGCCTTGGCTGGAAGGTGAACACGAGCCTCCCCGCATCCTCAAGAGTTGTCTAAGCGTATGGTTATCCAAAGCCATATATCTCATCAACACGACAAAGAATCAACCCTTACTCAGCCCCTAACATAGAGCTACTAAACTCGCCCAAGGACCCACAAGGTCGCCCTTTTGATGAGACTATTAGCCCAATAAACTTGATTACTCATCTTAGTCATTTCCAACCAACTAGAGATTTCCTCTAAGGTATGTTGATTCAATTGTGTTTTAATTTGAAGGATCTATACATTTCATCAAAAAAGCTTAGATATGGCATGATCATCACTTATGTGCCAATCTACATGCTGCTTAAATTTATTTTCTCGGGATCAATAGCATTGTCTTATACAGGATTCCTCCAATTGCAAAGAATGTCTCAATTGGCTAAGATTTGTTGTAAAGTTAGTCCAATGAGCATATTTTATGACGAGCAAGCTCACATTACAAAATTGATCGCTTGAAGGTGGTTATGCCAACAGTAAAGCCCAAAAGCTATGACAGAAAACCTCCAAACAAGAAGGCAAATCTATTTGGGGCAGCTGTCACCTTGTATAAAAATAGATATAAGGTTACTGACGAGAAAGCAATTTTTTTTAAAATTTGTGTGGATATTTTAAATGCTTTTCTCCTAAAAGAAGTCCGACGACAACTTCCTTATAGTCACTAAACTTTAATAGATCTCATTATAAAAAGTAACTTCCCACAACAAAAAGATTCTTAAAGACGGCCAAAACGTATTAGTGAAATTAAAGTATTAGCGGCGATCTAGAAAAACAAAACAGTGAATAGATGCCCCAAGCTCTTGAATCAATAGATAGTCACAAGTGTTTCTCTCAATTAAGTGAGAGCTGAAATAGAAACAAAGTTGATTAACAAATATTAATTTCAAATAATATTACAAAACAAATACACCAGCAACAGCTTCAGAACAAGGAAAGGTAGCAATTACACACCTTCAGTATATTGCCTCTCTTCTTATCAAGGACCAAACCCCTAACCATGTACTTCCAATCGAATTTCCAGTTCAGTATCTGCAAAGTGGAGTAATACGTGACAAATAAAAGTAGAAATCCCACCTGCTCGACTAAGGTAATATCTCTAAATTAAATTCAAGTAGTATATCCTTATTCACCCCCGCATGTTTTAACAAAAAAGGGTGCCCATCAGATTGTATGCCCAAAGCCCACCTTAGCCGATGGTCCGCCGTGATTGTACTAAAAATCTTAGTCAACCAACAATCTTGGTGACCGAGACTGTAAAACAGTCGAGTTGGTTTCAGTTTTCATCGACTAAGATGGTTGGCTAACCAAGGCTTCTAATATCTCACTCGACCGCGGAATTGAGTGGGAGGAGGGAGCGTGGTATGAGAAGCATTAATCTCAAATGAAGCAACTTTAACTTAAAATAAAGAAAAGCGATAAACTGAACACCAAAAAACTCCTAAACTCTCGGAGTGCACGTGCAAGACCGAGTCAAAGACAGTCAGAAACAAACAGATCATCGAAATCCTCTCAATCAGGAACCACCGGACACTGGTTTCCACCAGATTCCCACCAAAATCATCATGAACGCCTTCCAATCACCAGAATCAGCCGCTCCATTCTCGAAAACACAAAGTACGCTCCAAAACCCGTACCAACCGAACCAAAAAGCATTAAAATAAGAACTCGGACACAAACCTCAATGGGATACTGTAAATTCGTCACCAGCTTCCTCACTGTCCCTTCATACGCCAAAGCCTCAAATGTTTCCGGCTTGTACTGCGCCAGCGTATAGTCCATGTCGAACCCCACCGCCACAATATTCTTCATGTTCAACGATCGGTTGCAGAAAACCATCTTCCCCATCTTAACCGAAGAATCCTTTCCAGGAGACGACCAGATTCTCGCCCTCTTATTCCCCTCCATTCCGCAATCCTCCATCTCCTTCTTGCAAGCCGACACTCTGTATCCTACCAAGAACCAGCGATTCAAAACTCAACACCCAAAATCCCCATAAACTATTAATCAAAAATCGAAAAAAGATGAAGTAAAGCATGAATTACGAACTGCAGACCTCTACGATGCAAGAGATTCGCACCGGTCGATAATTGCGAATCGGAGAGAAATGAAAAGGCCAGGAGGCGAAAGTCGGCGAAGGGTCTCTTCGGAATCCTCATCTTCGGGGGTTTAAATAGGAATCCGAACGGCGTCGAAGAAGAAGGAGAAGAACAGGAATCGGAATCGGGTGCGCGAAGGCCGATGGTTTCACTTGCTCCGCGTATCTCTTTCGCTCCGAGAGAGCAGAGCTGAGGCAGTGAGGCAAGATGGCATCGGGCTTTGAACATCGGTGCGGACGCCCCGCGCATGAATTGTTCCACGTGGCAGCCGCTGATTGAGATTCTGGCGGAGTGGGATAGTGCCGCCTGCGGTGCGTTGGTGCGTTCAGGGAGCGGAATAACGGCCGGCGTCGCCGCGAGGTGGGCTGGGATCCGCTAGCGTGTGGACACTTCAGCGAAAAAAAAAAAATGATAACAGCTTCTTATTTATTTATTTATTTACTTATTTATTTATTTATACAAATTTGAAGACATGCGTGTGGATGCCAATTGTTATTACAAAACAATCACAATCCACACTTTTTTATATGAAATAATCAAAATAATATTTTGAAGCTTTTATTTTTTTAGAGCAAATTTTATAAGGTTTGATATACTTGCTAAAATACTCACAATATTATTAGCACAAAATATATGCTGAAATTTTATTTTTTTTATATTGATTTCTCTACCACGATCAAATTTCTCCAAAACAGAAAGTTATCTAGTGAAAAATTTGTAAATCCCTATGGATCACAGTTTTGTTTAAAACTGTATCACATTAAATATCTAACTTTATTAAGAACGACAAAATTGAAATATTATTTAGAGGGACAATTTTTTCGAGCGTGCTGACAGATGAAATCAACTCTAAGGTTTCTGAAAATAATTTTATCTCACAAAAATTCTCACTCTCTTCCTTACTTTCTCTATAAGTTCTTTGAAAAAAGAAAAAATAAATTGGAAATAAATGTAGGATGGCGGTGAGGCGAGATATTTTTAACAAAAATAATATTTTTTAAAAATTCATGAAGGAGATTGATGCGTGCTTGAAAATTTGCGGTGGTAGAGTAACGGACTATTGTTTTAGTTCTGCACACACATAGATGAAAGAGAAAAAAACGGTGATGACTCCAGAAGTTTTTACGTGGAAAGCCCATAAGGGAAAAATCACGGGGTATGGCCCAATTGCGGAAATACACTATTAATTGATGATTATATAAGACGGGAAATAGTAACTATATTTTTCAGATTACAACTTCGACTAACGGCGTTTGGTTGGTGGAGATGATCGACAGAGGTAGACGACTGTCGGCGGAGGTCGACGGAGGTCGGCGGTGGTCGACAACGGTTAGCGGTGGTCGAAGACGGAGATTTGTGGTCGACGACGGTCGGTAGTGGTCGTCGGAGGTCGGCGGTAGTTGTCGGCGGTCGGCGAGGGTCGACAACAGTCTGCGGTGATGCTGAGCTGCAGCTTCTCCTCAAGGCCTCAGACTTTATCTCTAAATTTCAGCACTCTCTCATGTGAGGGGTGGAGGTTTATTTATAGTGTTCTTGATGCAATTAATGCAGGAATGTCAACTATTTTGATAGAACTGTCTAGAGTGTTTCCTCTGATCATGCCGCGTTTAATGGTCATTTGAGTGCATTAACGATGTCGGAATTGAGTGATCTTAGTCTCCTTGGATTTGCTTTGTCGAGCGTGCCTTAACGATATCGGAATTGAGTGATCTTAGTCTCCTTGGATTTGCCTTGTCGAGCTGCTCGATTCGAGTGTAAACTTGTCAGTGTCGACATCTGTTTGACTTCCAAATGTGTCCATAAATCATCCAAGGGTAGTTTAATGACTTGATCTAAGTTTGATTTGACTCGGATTGGACTAGTTTTCATGTCATTAGGTCTGTATCAACGAGTCGGTTAGTTTGACTATAAGTTTGTTGAAATCAGAGCTTTTAATGACTTTTTATCAAGATTTAAATATTTATTGTTTAAAATATCATCTTGAGATTCGTGTTATGCTTCGAGATTCATGTCGGATGATGAAAATTTATTAGTGGCGTATCAGTTGCCCCCTATTTTCGGACGAGACTATTTTTATCGTCCAAAAATATTAAGATCCAGAGCATTTGTCATGTATATGTATCAATATATATTATTTTATTAGTATCAGTATAAAAATATTTTATTTTCTTTATATATTAAGAAGTTGAAGACAGCTCAGTTGATAATGTTTTTTGTTTCATAAGAGGATAACAAGATTCGAGTTCTGCTCTAGACAAGTCGCCTGTAAGCCTGAAGCTAAAAAAGTGAGCCCAAAATGCAGAGTTGGGGAGCCCGAGAAATTTTTTATGACATTTAGTGTTTGCACTCCTTTTTAAGTCTGTTTAATAACAAATATTTAATTTTTCATTTCTTTTTGAAGTCTATAATAATGATCATTTAATGGTTAAATCCCTTATGAAGCATATAAATAGAGGTTTGAAGGAGAGGGTAGAGGTGCGGCGGTGCGTCGCGGCGGCGCGGCGATGTGACGTGACACAGCGGCTCCACGCATTGCGGCGACGCGACGCATTGTGGTGGTGCGTGGAGGCAACACGACGTGTTGCAGCGGTGTGTTGCAGCGACGTGACGAATTGGTGTGGTGCGTTGTGACGACGTGCTACAACGCTGCAACGCGTTGCGGCGACCCATTGCGGCGTGGCATTTTATGATGGTGCGTCGCAGCGACATGTTGTAGCCTAGGGACGACTTGCAGCAGTGCGTCGCAACGATGTGTTGTTGCACGGCGACTGTTGCAGCATGACGATGCTTTGTGAGGGTGCATAGCAGCGATGTGTTGTAGCTTGGTGACGTGTTGTGGCAGTGTGTCACGGCATTGCGCTAGGTGGAGCATCACAGTGGTGTGATGCGTTGGATGTCCAATGTCATATAAGAAGGTTACCGTGGAGATAAATTGTCAGCAATCTTTTACTTGGTTGAGGTTATGCATCAGAGTATTACTCAGTGATGCTTAACATGCATGGGAGGAGCCAAAGAAAGTCTACCGAGGACTTTTTAACTCATCCAAGGTTGTTTGTTGGAGCATTGCTCGCTTATGAACCTGTGTGAAAGGGATTAGGGGTAGTCCACCAAGGGTTGTTAACCTATTCAGGGTTGTTTATCAAAGTAAAAATTCAACGATGTTAACCCATGAGGTCAGATCAAATCCCCCTGGGATCGATTGTGATCTAAGTAAGATACAACCAAAGTTGTGTATTTCTCGAGCCGAGAGCATAAAGTGACTTGTGGATGAGTCGTTACACTTTCTAAAGATATTCTCTTTTGTAGAAGAAAGCAATAAAATAAGTTTGAGATACATTGACATTGTATGCAATATGACATAGATGATATGACTGAAGTGTTACTTGTAGTATTTTCGAAGATTCTCGACATTCCAAGTCTGGGGCAGGATTTTTCCATCTGAGTCTTTGAGCTTGAAGGTTCCAGGCGCTTGATCATGAGCTTGATCATGGCAGCTACGATATATGGGCCTTCTCAAAGAGGGGATAATTTGTTATGTTGGGGACCATGACCAGCGGTTTCGATACTACGCAAAACCAGGTCACCAATAGAGATACGTCAAGGCTTTACTCTTCGATTGAAGTGGCGAGCAATTCTTTGGCGGTAGGAAGCAGCTCTGAGGAGGGTCGCATCACGTATTTTCGGGAGAAGATCCAACTGTTCTCATAGCTTTTCTTCATTGCTTTCTGAATCGAAAGTCTTAAATCGGGGGTTTGGAACTTCGATATCAACGGGAATGACAGCCTCGGTGCCAAAACACAAGTTATATGGTGTTTCCCCGGTAGGAGTTCGTGCGGTGGTGCGATATACCCTGAGGACGTTATGCAGCTCTTCTACCCACTGCCCCCCAGCCTTCTCAAGATGAGTTTTTAACCCTTTGAGCACTGTTCTATTTGTCACCTCTATCTTTCCATTCATTTGGGGATGCGCCATAGTTGTGTGAACCAACTGAATGTGAAGATCCTTGCAGAATGATGTGAATACCCTTTCAGTGATTTGAGTCTCATTATCAGTGATAATCTTCGCGGGAAGCACAAAGCGACAGATGATGTTTTTCAGACAAATTTTTTGGCATTGGCCTCAGTGATCTTGGCAAGAGACTCTGCTGCTACTCATTTGGTGAAGTAATCAACAGCTAAGATGATGAATTTTCGTTGTCCAGTAGCTATCAGAAATGACCCCATGATATCAACTCCCCATTGGGCGAAAGGCCAAGGACTCAAAAAAGATGTGAGTTCTGTTGGTGGTGCATGCATAAGATTGGAGTGCAGTTGACAAATCTTACATTTTTTCACAAACTCTAATGCATCTTGTTTGATAGTAGGTCAGTAGAAACCTTGCCTCATTATTTTAAGAGCAAGTGTCATGCCACCAAGATGCTCCCCGCATATTCCGAGATGAACTTCACGTAGAGCGTAATCAACTTCAAATGGAGGAAGACACTTGAGATATGTACCTACAAATGTCTTCTTATACAGTTCATTCCCTATAAGGATGAAGTTGGCAGTCATGCGTCGGATGTGAATTGATGTAGTAGCATCGTCTAGCAATGTCCCGCCTTGGAGGAAGGAGATGATGGGATCCATCCAATATGGCTCCCCTGGGTCATTTATTATGGCTCCCTTGGATCATTTATAGACAGTATCACTCATGGGCCATGGATGCTAGGAAAATGTATCTCCTCAATATACCTTCTTTTAGAGAGATTTCCAATTGTTGAAGTTGTAAGCTTGGAGAGGGCATCAACTCAGGTGTTATGCTCCTGAAGTATGTGAATGAGTTGACATGTTTCAATTTGGACGAGAAGTGTTTTTACCAGACTGAGATACTGCATAAGTTTTGCATTATGAGCATCGAATTCTCCTTCTACTTGAGATGCGATGAGTTCAGAATCAGTGTAGATAATCATGTTTTGTACTTCACAGTTGATGACAAGCTTTAATCTGACAACAAGTGTTTCATATTCAATAACATTATTCGTAGCTGGGAATTTCAAACGAAGTTCGTACTCCAAAATGTCTTTCTTTGGGGAGATAAGTAGTATTCCTGCACCAGTTCCTAAGTTTCTGGATGTTTCGTCTACACATAGTGTCCACTGAGGTGACCATGGAAGAGAAGAGGGTGGTTCATCAGAGGTAGGCACTATACATTCTACCACAAAGTCGGCTAACACCAAAGTCGGCTAACACGATTTGATGTTCAGTCGTGGTAAATAGTGGATGTCAAATTCTCTCAATTCTAATGATCATTTAACTAATTGTCCTGATGCTTCTGATTTTTGTAGGATTTCCTTCAAAGAGCGTTATGTGTAAACGCCGATAGTGTGAGCCTAGAAGTACGGACGA